CGCCTGATTCCCTGCTACCTTTCGTTCACCCCCCTCCTCTCTCAAGTTTGATCCTGCTCCTTTGTTACAAGTACCTCACAAGTGGGCGCACGTGTAAAATGCAGGGTTGCTTTAGCCAACGTGGATGTAAAACCAATCCACTCAGGTAAGGATCGCCTGATCCACCCCTCACAAGTGCATGAGTCGAAAGGGGTATAAAGGGGATACTGTAGTTTTGCCGCTTTCCCCATAGTGGAAAAAGGTGAAGGAGGCACAGAAGACGTGCAGCCATCCTTATCATCCTTCCCGATCAACTAATGGGCCTGGAAGACGATGTAGGTTGGACGAACCATGGACGATCCATCTGTCCTTCCGGAAGGACATCGTGTCGCAGCTTGCAAAGCAGAAGCCGAACGACCCGTTCAAGTGACTTGGCAGCGTGTCAGAGTGCGCTGCCCTTGCTCAGCCCAGATTGCAGCAGTGCATGAGGTTCTGCATAGACTGCAAGAGCCCATGCAAACCATTTCTATAGATGGCAGTCTGATTTGGAATGATTTTATCCTGTTTACAATGATGACTAAGCAATATAGTTTTATTATAGAATATCTTAGTATATATTTTAGCTATTGCCTTGATTCTTGAGGTTCATTGCGGACGCTGTCGCCAAGCAAACTGGAGGCGTTTTGGGCGCGAAAAATTAGACCGGTCACGGTTGCGCAACTGCACCGGTCACGGTTGGTCAACAGCGGTAGGAGGAAATATGTACCGGATTCCCGGAGCATTCCAAGATAGTCGCATGTTTGGTGCGAACAAGTGGTCTGACTGGAGATTTCTTGCGGATGGCCCGGGACCGGTATGGACATGTGATGTCATCAAAGGGACTGTACCTGTGGCATCCTGTCGCATTTTGCCTGCTCGGCACCCTTACGTAAGGTAACCGAGGTTATTCATAACATTTCATAACAACTCAAAATTCTCGTGGTTTGCAAGCTTCCGCAGAATGGCTTATCAAGCATTTTTGATCAAGAACTGTACCACCGGAACCACTCTCCGGTTCTCACCAGGCACTACAGCCACAGCAGCGGTGCAAAGCAAGACAGAGACAAAGGCAGCTCCGAAGGCATCGCTGCTGTTTCTTTGTGATTTGTGTTCTTTGGGAGGTCCCCAAAAGTGTATTGAAACTGGTTGCATCAGACAGCTCACCTCCTGAGAGAGATTTGTATGCAATTTTTTGGTACGGATTCCGCACTCCGCTAATCTCAGCGGCGAAGCGGCACCAGGCGAAAGACAAGAAGGTGGAGGAGACCTCCCCCAAGGCGCGGCCGTGCGGGTTCGATTTGGCGTGAAATGCTGGGCCGAAAGAATAATCAACTCCAATAAGGAAGCAGCTCGCATCACAAAATCTGCGAAAGCAGAAGGAACAGGCTCTCCAGCAAGGTGGACTTTGGTGGCGCATAGACTACTCCGCAGGGTGAACATGGTCAGCAGGTGGCCCACCAGAACAAGGCGGACTGGATACCGTGGACCCCGGATTGGCCAAGGCAGCGAAGGCAAACAAAGCAGAGGCCGCACCCAAGGCAGATGGAGAGCCGAGGGATTGGTGCACCGGCGAAGCGTTCAACAGGTGTTGGGAGTGTTCACTTCTCAAAGGACGTCAGAGTCCTTTTCATCGCTTTCTTTGCGTTCGCTTGCATTGGTTTGCATTGCATGCTGTGTGCCATGCCTATTTCACACTAGTAGGGCACCAGTGTTTACCTGTTTGCCAAGTATAGCACACACTTCTACCGTATAGACTTGTGACTTGCATTTTCCACAGCGCTGAATGTTGATTTTTGGGCTCAAGCTTGCAGAGAAATCTGTGCTGTGTGCGATTTGTGCCTTCAAGCCTCTTGAAAGCTAACAAGCATGCCTCGTGACAAGGATGTGTACTTTGCGAAGCTCGCTGAGCAGGCCGAGAGGCAGGGCATTCTTTCGAGTTGTGCCAAGTGTTTGCTGCCATGCCTGACAGTGCCATTATGTGTGATGACGGGGTGTGCAGGTACGACGAGATGGCCGACTACATGAAAGCGGTCGGCGATGATGGCTCCGAGCTGTCCGTGGAAGAGCGCAACCTGCTCTCCGTGGCCTACAAGAACACCGTTGGATCTCGCCGTGCTGCGTGGCGCATCATTTCGAGTGTGGAGCAGAAACTCGGCCCGGGCAGTGGTTGCGGCATTCTGGGGACCTGAAACTTCGGAGTCCGTACCTTTTGGAGACCAGCAAGACAAGCAAGCAGCCTAGGCGGACCTAGCCGTTGCCAGACTATATATCGATATGTAATATAATGATATAGTGGAGTGTTGAACAGTTTTAACACTTGAGAAACCCAAATCGAAAGAAACGGTCGGAGCCAAGGAAGGAGAAATCCAAGGGCAATGAGACACAGGCTGGCTATGCAAAGGACTACCGTGTCAAGGTGGAGAATGAGTTGCAGAAGATTTGCGACACCATCCTGAAGCTTTTGGACCAGGGACTCATCCCAAAGGCCACGCAGGCAGAATCCAAGGTCTTCTACCAGAAAATGCATCTGGCTTTTGCAGATCAAACTTGTCAGGTGTTTTCTTGTCCAGTGTGAGTTTTCATGCTTGGTGCAACTCCCGATTCGTCCACGGTCAAACTTTTTACAATTTGTCAATGCTCTGATGTTTCAATCAGTAAGGAAGGCCGACTACTACCGTCTCTTGGTCACGACTTGTGAAACACTTTAAGAAACTTTATGCAGTTGCAGCTCTACCTTTTAAAGTAATACTTGGCACAACGTTTGTAGATTGACTAGTTATCAATCACATCGAGGATATGGAAGCGTGTACACCCGGATTTCTCAGTTGTGAGAAAAAATCCCTAAAGATATATAAAGGTGGATAATATATTCAGCAAGTTCCTCAGCATTATTGTCACACTCTCGCTTTGCAAATAGGTTCCACGCCGCATGGATCCTTCGGCAACCCCCGGCCATACTGTGGGAGAAACAAGAAACGACCCAGACCAGTGGTTGAAGATGATTCCCGGTCTTAACAGATTTCAACATAAACGTCTTCTTCCAGGTTACATTGCGGAGTTCCGCAGTGGTGATGAGAAAAGCAAGGCTGCCGAGGAGGCCCGGAAGGCTTACGCCGAAGCGGCAGAGGTGGCCAAGAAGGATTTGTTGGTCACGCATCCCATTCGCCTGGGTTTCTCAGCCTAAACTTTTGCGGAGAGATCTTTTTTCAGAACGGGTGCTCCTGGGAGATGTGTTTTACAGTGATTTCTTGCAAAATCCTCTTCAAAATTGAGGTGTTGAGCTATTTTTTGATCAATTTTGTGAGATCCAAGCCTATCCCAGTTTAGAGGGAATACCCAAAAAAACAACAAACAAAAAAACCGATAAGATGTATGTAAGTGTTTCTTTCAAAAGCTTTCCTTCAATGAAAATACAATAATCTAGGAAATCTACTTTCCCAGAGATCCAGAGGAAAGCTATTGAATCTAGAGATGTATAGTATTATATCTTCATTCGCTCATGATGCTACATTCATTGTGGGCTGAGAGTGATTTACCTGATAATATTTATCATGGGTGTTGCACATTGATAGTGGGCAGACGAAGAGCTGTTATTTGTCATTGACATTGGACATGGAGACTGGGCACAGACAGATCAAAAAAAATGCGTTTCGCCTAGTTCTCAGAGCAGATTGAAATTTTGCTCGGTATTTACAGTGTTTTCTAAGGGTTTTGAGCTAGTGTGTGCTCTCCCAAGCACACCCACCCTTTTTTTTTTGTGTGTTTGTTTAAATATTGTTATATATTTATGTTAATTACTTTGGGGATGACTTAGCCAAGATTGGAGTTCGTAAGATGAAGGAACTCAAGACATCCTAAGGCGTAACTTCGATTTCCAAGGCCCCCCAAGTTCGCTGGCAAAGTGAGGCTTGGCCTTGAACTACTCCGTCTTCATGTACGAAGTGCTCAATGATCCGGACGAAGCATGCAAGATGGCCCGCACAGCCTTTGAAGATGCCATTGCTGAGCTGGACAACGTGGCCGAGGACTCCTACAAGGACTCCACGTTGATCATGCAGCTCTTGCGAGACAACCTGACTCTTTGGACTTCGGACCAGGAGGCGGGCAATTAGTCCGTGCATCGCGCGCTCTCTGCGCGCATGGCTGTGCGACACAGACGGCACAGCGACTCTGACCTGTGGTCATTGGGAGAAGGGGGGAACCAAACGAAAGCAGCGCGAGGACGCCAAAAAAGGGGCCAAATGTGCGCCGGGTGCTTCGTTGGGAATGAGGGAATGATCATGGAATGATCTTGTATATATATATATATACATACAATGGTCCCAGTATGATCATAACGGTAACGCCATCGTGGACCTACACAGCAGATCGTTCGCCACGTAAAGAGATCGACTCATTCCTGTTGAGCAACTAATTTCGCCTGTGCAAGTCATCAAGTTTGACCGAGATTCTGGGATGTTTGCAGCCCGCTTGCAGGCCGCAGCTGCCCCAGCAGGCATATGGCATAGAGCTGAAAAGCGTGGGGTCTGGAACAGCAATCCTACTCATGCTCATAAATGGTGCAAAAAGGAGGATGGACTTAAGGTTGTGGAGAAGAACATGTATTCAAATGTCATTGCATGTCATTCCATGTTCAATCAATGCTGATACTGTCAGAAGGACCAAATACAGGCCCAAAGTACAGGCTGGCAGCTGGCACACCATATACGATATATACGTTTTATTTTCAGTATTGATTCAAGAATGCTTTGCAAATGACCTTGGAATCCTAGCTTTCAGTTAACGGCTCAGTACCCATCCTCAGCCTTCAGCGCCGTGATTTGTCAACGATCCGCGACCTCAGGCGTTGTGGATGAGGCCGCCGTCCAGGCGGTTAGTGACGAGCTTCGGGCGCTGAAGGAGAAGCTGAAGAAGGAGGCCCGCCATTTGGTGACATGTCAGCGGTGCTTCTGAGCGGACTCCCGGATTCTTACGTGCGGACGAGCCGGGGGATGGATGAGTCGGAATGGCCAAGAGATGCGCTGCAATACCGTAGTCATTGTGGTGGTAGACATAGGGTGGCTAGGTTTGCAATGCTTTGACTGCTATTTGCAGAAAGTAGCTGATGTAGAGGTGTAGTGGATGATGCACAGCAGATGTGTTAAACAACTTAAGAAATGTACACATTGCGTTTGTGCAGGATATTGGTAAGAATCGCGTGCAAACACACGCGCGCTCTCTGCAGGTGTGCTGCCATTTGCAGGTTGTTCCCGCAAAAACAAGCAAAAGACACAAAAAAACAGGAGGGACACAAAATGTTCAAAGCCCTCTTTGGGGGTCGAAAACGAACATCGGATGACAACGGCGGTGCACAGACCTTGACAGGGCAAGAGCTCCAAGGACGGGGCTGTGTGGGGGATGGGAATGGCATTTTTGCGCAAGCCGCAACAAGCACTGGAAAGCCTTGCCTGGCGATAGCTTCACATGGTGTAGAAGGAAGCTCTATGCAACAGCGTCGATCTTCACATCTTAGAAATACGTATCCTCCTTATGCCCGGTGAGTGGTTCTCTAACAAAAAGGGATCTATATATATATATTGCTATTTCAGGTATCCATTCTACAGTGAGGGACCATCACTGAGGGTATTCCTTCTTCGCCCCGAATGCCCCGAACCATTCAGTCAGGAGGTGAATGACACGCCGGAGGTCGCAGCTTTAGTTGCCAAACTCAAGGCACTCAAAGCTGGAGGCAATCAATCGGCGTGCGGGAGGGATGCTGTTGCGGTCAAGGCTTGGTTGTTGTGCTGGATAGTCGATATTTTTTACAGTACTTGGACTTCCACCAGGTAGGTTTCAGTGACAGCCAGCAACCTCCAGGGCAGGCACGAGTTATATAATTTCAAAACAGACCATGTCAAACACCGCACGCTTGACCGAAGCGTGCGGTCTGTTTCAATGCCAGACCATGTGGCGAGACGGACCCGCTTGGAACGACTCAGACAGACTCAGCCCCAAAGGACTCCAAAGCCGTCCTTCGACAAGGGGTGGGGACATGTGACTCAAGGGCGGCAGGAAAGCACTGAAAGGAGCAGCACTGAAAGGAGCAGCACTTGCAACAGGTGGAATGACATGTAACCATGGCGCCGAGACGAAGTTACAGATGGAACTCGGGCTGCGACCTATACCACAACACCAGCTATTGTGTGAGAAGGTCAGCCCCATAGGTGGTTCTCCGGACCAATCGGCTGCAGGGGCATGGCATTCCCCATCCTTCAAGTTCAGCACACGCACCGCTGAAAGCCACGGCCAAAAGCATGGCGTTCCATGCTGCTTCGGCGTCCCATGATTTGAGCCCTCCAAGTTCCGAACTCCAAGGACCTCCGTGTTCCTCCGGTCACGCGCCGCGTCGCGACGCACGCGAAAGACGTGACCGGACTCGATGGACCGAAGCCAGGTGCCAGCGAGGCACCGGCCGAGAAGGCCGGACAGATGGGGAGGTCGAGGAGAAGCAATCAAGGTTGTAAAAAGCATAAGAAGAGTAAGAATGAGTCTATGTAGTCATTGTATTGGAGTCTGTAGCCAAGACATATCATTTTTATTGGAGTCATTGTGAGTCTATGAATTCTCGAAATGAGATGTTCCAATAGGTCTGAGATGGTCTGAGTCTATTGATATTTTATGAGCATCATGGATATCCATGTTTATGGTCAATGATTGAATCACTCAGATCATGATCTGCTGAAGCAGGCTAGGTGCGGTGGTAATGTGTTGTGAATATGGAGGCAGAGGCAAATCATGGCAAATCGCTGTTGTTGTTGTTGTTGACCAGCCTCGGGTTGGTGGCCTTCATGAGTGACCAGCGTCGGCCGTTGCTCTTCCTGCCTCGTGAACTGCCCACATCAGGATTTGCAAGACCACTCATGAGGCCTTTCTTCCATGAAGTCCATGTGAGACCGCAAATTGGACTTGTGGGGTAGAGCTTTCCGAGTTCCAATGGGACATGTACCTGAGGTATTAGGATGTTGTAGGAGGAGACTCATGAATGCAGCAGGTCGGAGGCCAACACCTTGAAGCCATACCTCCAGGTTGGCTCACCAGACCACCCCGTTCAGATCCTTTGGACTCCAAAACCGCCGGACATCTCTCCGGTACTAACGAGGCAACGAACGAACATGAGGTCCTTGGGTCCTTCGATTTAGCTATAAGACCTATACAAATAGGGTGGTTTTAGGAGGTTTAAGGGTCAATGTCGGGTAAGTATTCCATACATGGATTGTTGGGGTATGGCTAGGTCGAGTTCTTGATTGTGAGATATTGTGAGGATCATCGGTCATTCTGAGTCTGTAGTTCCCGCGGTCATCGTGGTGGAAGAACATTGACATGTTCTATGCAATTCTTCTAGGGGTTTGGGGTGGGCAGCTGTGTTTGGGTGAGCAGATGAATCCAGACTGATGGCCAAAAGATGTCGAAAGACGGTCCCTGGCTTCATATTGATTCACCTGAGAAGGCCCTAGAAACTACTGTACATCTTGGTGGTAGTTCCAGATTCAATTATAGTTTTCCTGCAAGATCGCTTTACTTGATTTTTGTACATGTGGTTTTACAAAATTTGCAACTGCGTTCTGCATTCTCCTGAGCGAAGGCGCTCTTCCTCCGCATCCTTGCTTTCCAAGGAGGAAAAGCCCAAGAAGGAGAAGAAAGAAAAGGCCAAGCCGGAGGCCGTGGCTCCCGTGCCAAGCTCAGATGCTCAGAGGAAAATCCTCAGAGGCGGCATTTTCTGCGCGTGGCGCGCGTGAACGAGTTTCAAGTGGCACAAGACCCCAGAGGGGAGTTGAAGTAGCCCAACTGGGTTTTGTACCTTGGTGCCACTTGAGCTCACACACCTGAATGATCTGTTGTGATTGTTAGGCGAAAACAAGTTCAAGATTCAAATGTGTTTTTCCGTTTCATGAGCTACCTTCCGTCCAGTTCTTTCTACATGTAGTCCATTCACATTTGAGATTTTTGAGACGGTATTTAAGGAGGAATTTCCTTCGCTACACATGCTGGCCGTGCTTGCATAACAGCAGCATGATGCGCCATGTTTGGCAGCAACATGATATATAATTAGGTGCCCAGCACTCCTTAGAAGATGATTCGCGAGCCAGATTTGTCTTTGAGGTAGAGAAAGCCAAGCAGCAGGACAGTTGGAACAAACGCGTCGACGCGCCGCTCAGTTCCTGTCTTGATCTCATCCGTTGGTGGCCGAACTATCTACTGTACATGTACTGTAAGTGCTTGGGAGAAGGAAACTGGAGATGCTGCCAGCCCTGCAGACATCTGCAGACTGCAAGTGGTTTGCTGGAAAGGTGAAGGGAGGAGGACTGGTGAACAAAAAGGCAGAGAATGTGCCAGATTGGTACGCCGAGGCCGGCAGTCCAAAATCTATCGGTGCCTGGGTCGGACACGAGGTTCTAGTTAACACCTAACACTAGCTTCTCGCGGCTGCGATGTGCAGCTTCGGAGGCTCTAGTGTGTGGCCTTTTTCTTTCTAAACGTGGATTTTAAACATCCTTGATTTGGATGACGTGGGTTCGTTGGGCGAACCCCAAGTCGCAGCCAGTTCCCTGAACAAGGTGACACCCAGTCTCCCTCCTTCTGTTTCCGTACAAATATATGTTCATCAGCCGAGCCAAAAGTAGATATTTCATGATATGTCGCGACCCAATTCACTGCAGGTCATTGGCAAGGGAGAGTTGATCGAGAAGTACCCAGTGCCTCACTTGGGCATTCGGGGCTGGCGGAGGTAGAGGCGGTGTCCAACGGAAGTGACCTAAGGCGACCAAGAGCTAATTCTACTGTGCAACGCTGATGTCGAATCAAACCCATGGAGCCACAGAATGCCCTAGGACACGTGCATGCCTGAACATTGCTATGTTTCATCCTCCCATGAAAGGACGAACGTTTGTGTGAACTGCCCATGGATATCCATGGGAACCAATTGTTGGGATCCAATTTGGAGATCTAGGATCTTTTATTTGGGCACGTGCGGGCATCGGCCGGATGACCTGACCTTGCCATTCGTCGCATGTCAAGCTGTCGTTCGTTGTTGTGCCACAGGATCAGGATCCTCATTTTGATGAATTCCTCAGGCATACTCTCTTCCAACTGCAGCATTGAAGGCGAAGGAACTTTCGAAATTTGTTCGAACAGTTTGGTAGGCCCGGGACTGGGCACCAAACACCCTCAAGCATGACTTTGCCTCAAACAATGTAAACAATTATAGCTGAATGAAAGAACAAGGAGTTTGCTTTTCGATGCTACTAAAGGGTAGAAACATTAGTTAAGTGTTCGTGTTTCTAGCCTACATGTTCCAACATGCTTATGCTGGGTTGCGCCAGTACAAACGTGCTTTTTGAGACACGAATGTTACCGGGATGAAGATCTTCGTTTTCATCCAAAGTGAAGTTACTACACCCCGGAAGATTAACATGGAACCTGAAAACCACTCGGTGTTAACGGAAAATAGTCATCCAAAGGTCCATTCTCAGGTTCCATGTTAATCTTCGGGGGTGTACACTGCGGTCGTCTAACATACTGTAACGATTTCAGTTTTGCGTTCTCTAGAGATGTTGTGGCTTGCTCATGGGAATTTTGGTGACACGACTTGTACATGTGCAAGACTAAGGTTAAGGGCTGCTTCATTCTGCGTCCATGGGCATACAAGCTTTGGGAGCAGGTGCAGGCGAGGAAACATCTGTGGACGGACATAGGTCGCGCACCTGGTGCGGTTCGGTGAGTTCGATGAGGGATTCTGTGCGTTCGCTGTTGGTGGCTTCTCACATCAAGGTTTCGCGGTTTCCCTGACCGATGTTTCACCTGGTACATGGACTTAACACGGTGGTTCGCTTCTTTTCAAGGGAACGAACAAGAATGCGTCCATTTTCTTCTGGTGAATGCCAAGCTTCTCGCTATCGACTTCGGACAAGTGCATGGCGGTCCCTTTGAGGGCTGGCTGGACAAGCGCATCAAGGAGATTGGTGCTCCTTGGACGGAGGATGTTGGAGACCGCTGGCGTTGGGCGGCACATGGTTTAATAATATTTTAAAAATATGTGATGCACCACTAAGCTCTCCCAAATCAAGTGGATGTTAGTCAAAACTGAGACTGCCAACGGAGCTGAAATTCAAATCACAAGAGCCAATGGGATGCCAATGGAAGGCTGGAGCGCTTGTTGGATTTGGACCCTTTACTCACTGTGAGACATGCACTAGATCCAAAAATGCCAACTGAAGCCAAAGAACCTTAGCTGGATTGGAGCTTCCACTGAACACCCCCCCCTCTAAAGTTTGAAGCAACCTGCACCTAGGCCTAGGCCGCAAAAGGATTTCCACGTGTCGGGTCGTGGACTTGCGGAGCTGAGGTGGAGAATTGCTACTTTCCCATGTGCCGGGCCTAGCGTGACCATTTGACAAGACTTGGAACTTGGAGCGGAATGATGTGCTGGGCTCGAAGGGGTTCCTGTAAATGGGCGTTCAGAGGCGTTCAGAGCGCCCTCAGCAGAGGCTCACTTGGACTGAGTTGGCTCCCACCACCAGCCTCTTCTCTTTCTCTTCTCTTCCGTCACTTTCGGAAACGTTTGGTGGGCCGGGGAGGTTCATCCCAAAGTGCTACATGGAGAAAGAGAGTGATCATCTGGACGACTTCGCGCCTGAGCTCGCCATGGTCACCAAGTTTGGCAATGAGGACAGGCGAAACGCGGCAGGCACAACGCGTTCGACACTGGACGATGCGAGGAATCCAAGAAATGGTGGCCGAAGATGCACCTTGTGTGGTGTGATGTGGTGTGTGGGTTTAGCTAGTAACAAAGGGCATCGCCACAAGGAGCAAGGACGCTACTAGTAGACCCTGGCCCTACTAGTAACAAGAAGCTACTAGTAACAGTGTGTTGAGCCTTAAGGGGTTTGTGATTGGTGATTTGTGGATCCACAGGTGCCAAAAGAGCAGACTCTTGTCAACTACTGTGAGAAGAACTGTAGTCAGTGACTACTGTAGTGTATGCACTCATGTTCTCCATCCTTTTTGTATTTATGAATTATGTTCAGGTTTGTTCCTTCAACACGGCTGTCCCGGGTGCCGTGAGGACATCGATGAGCCCGTGGCAATCAGGTGCGACGTTGGGTTACAAAGCGTTTGGGGAAGCCGCTGCACACTGAAGAGGGTTTATGGAAGACGTTTTGGGGTGAGAGATGGATGTCTAACGGCATGGAATGCAGGTGCGCGTAGGATATCAAGATGTCACTACTAGCAAATCTGAAGATCAGGATTATAAATGAAAATAGATAATGAGATTAATGGAGGTGATGAAGAGTGAAGTCTGAAGCAGATGAGGAGGGGAGTCAAACTTCAGGCCGACCAGTGAGACGGCCATGTACGCGGCCTATTCTGATTGGGTCCAGTCGCACCGTGACCTCCCCATCAAGCTGAACCAGAACCTCGTTTGCATGGGACTGGGAGTTGGCAGGCCAATTAGCAGGAATGGGACGCAAAGATTTGCAGACATGGAGGGCACAGCACTTGTTTATGTTTTTTTTAATGTTTTTTGTTTGGGTGCTCGGGACATTCCCAAAAGTTCCAACATGTTGGCCGCCAAAAGGACGCTTTGGCCAGTCGGGCGGGCGCCATGTCGAGTGCGAGGAAGCCAAGCTGCCCGGTCGGCCCTCGAACATCGAAGACGGTGAGGTGGTGCAGCGTGGTGCGATGGGAAGTGAAGCAGACCACGCCCTTCTTGCGCACACGCGAGTTCCTTTGGCAGGAGGGGCACACAGCCTTTGCAGAGAAGGCATGGCTGACGCGTGACTAATTGGGGCATCAACGAATTCTGGATCCTGGTCCAGGAATGCATGCAAGCTGGAAGTCAGTCACAAGATCCATGGATTGATTGCATTTTTTTCATATAGGGTTCTTGGAGCATTGTGCGTTTTTGGGGTGTTTGTGCTGGCGTCGGCTGTTCTGTCTAAAGTCTAAAGTTAAAGCATTAATGCATTCTACGGCACGCAATGGCCACTCAATGGCCACAAGAGTAAACCTGTCTTTGAGCCGCAGGCGCCTGCCGAAGCAGAGGTGTTGGCCATCCTCGAGCTTTACGCGCGTGTCTACGAGGCACAAAAGAAGTCTGGTCCATCCTCTAGCAGGTCCTGCATGAATGGGCCGACCCTACACAGTATGGCCCCTTGACTCTTACCATATATATAATATATACAACAGGTAGTAGTTACTATACCTGGATGCGATGGTTCAGGTCAAGGAGTCGAACCTTCGAAGCGGGTGAAAGTGCCACCTGCAGGTCCCTACAGTCTTATTTGTTTTGAGCCGCATGCCTATATTATGCCTATGTCACTCTCTCATTGGGATGTGTCTTTGAGCGGAACGTGGATGAACTGAACCAAACCCAAAAAGCCGCTCCTTGCTCATCAACACTGCTCTTTGAAATAAACAGGCAGCCTTCGGCTGTGCAGGGTGCAGGCTGGCCACTCTAAGTCTTTGAGATCAGATAGTGGAGACTTCTCAACAAGGTGTGCATCATGAGCCCCACAAGCAGTTCCGGAGACCCAAAGCTACTGAAAAGAAAACTCATCGCACGTTCGTAAGCTCGAGACAGAATCAACGGTGGCAGCGGTCATGCGTAGTTGAACACTGTCATTTCTTCCGAAACTCCCGCCGTAGCAGCAGATGTTTATCATAATTTGGTTAAGCCATGCTCGTGAGGAGAGATGACTTGAACTTTACAAAATCCATGATGTTTACACAACTGTTTGATATAGCATGAATAGGGTCCGATTTGTGTGGCGACCCCGGGACCCCTCAATCCATGTCGCCACCTGCTTCCGTTTCACCCAGTCCCGATCATCCCAGGAGCTTCTCGCGGTTCCTGTGGTCCGGGGTACGAAAACCAAGGCGCTTGAGCCGTGCGAGTGTGGGGTCTACCAGTGTGTCGTGAGGATGTCAATCCCAGGGTGCAGGAGACCCCCCCAAAGCATATGTGCGATTATGTGTCGAATAAAATATAACTACATTGTATATTCATATGCATAGGTGCAGAATTAACAGAATAACAGAATAACGAGGTTGTAGAATTGTAACAAGTGGTTCCTTAGGCCCATGGTTTGTGGGGCCTTTGCTTCTGGTGATCCATGGTGATCCCTTGGTTGTTGGACGGATCTTTTTCGGGGCGAATGTCCTAGACTGCGGACCAAGCGGTGTGCCCAGCAGACAGTTCTTTCATGTTCTTTCTGGGTTCCCGTGCTGGTCAGGAAACAAGAAACAAGATGTTATAGAACTGTACACATCAACTGTTCAATGAACACCTTATCCAGTGTGTGATGGCGCACCTCGTTACCGTACGCGTGGAGCAAAACCAACACGAGTTTCTGAGTTCCTGTGGTTCGTTTTCGCAGTTCCCAAGCGAATTCCCAGCGAATCCGGATGTAGTTCTTTTCCACCTCGTTTTTGCACAATTGCCATGCACGCGCTCCGTTCCGGACATCACGCCCCCCAAAACCCCAACTCGGCCCTCGACGGCCCTGCGGCTCCCCCAATATCCATGAGGTTCCGGACGTCCCTCCATTTCACCTTGCATCCTTCGCGTCATAATTGAGAAGGAGAAAGAGAAGGGAGAGAAAGAGGAAGGAGAAGGAAGCAACAGACGAAGCAGATGAAGAAAACGAAGAAGAATCACGACAAGACCAGCAGCAGCGGCAAAAGCCAAACTCCTTCAAATCCTGTACCTGCCTAACATCAATCCCCAAACACAACATGTACTTGTGCGAGGCACTTCCCCTGCTCCTCCTTTCCGTTCGTAATTGAAAGCATTGCGGCATTGAGCTGAGAACTCAGCATAGGTCATAGGGCCTTGGCATTTGGGAATGCTTTGTGCTGACGCGCCTTGTTGACAGTTTATCAATAAGATTGATGGCCCATTGTATAGGACGCGACAAGGCTCAGCTTGATCTTCCGTAAACTTTTCAAAATTCTTGGACAATTAATTATGATCATTTGAATTTGGCTTACAGACTCTGTTACCTGTTACAGTGTGTCTTGCAGGTACTTATTGCACAAGCGACATTCTCCGCGCCTGGAGGTTGTGGATCCTTGGCACCATGAGAACGATAGTGGTCCAAAGAACAAGAACCAGCCCATCATTTGCACCTTTCTAGCAAAGGTCCCTCCTGCACGTGCAATTCCCCACAGACGTGGTCGCCTTCTGGAAACACAGCCTCATTCAAAGCCTGACTTGTTTGCTGGAAGCTTCCCTGTCGCAAAAAGTGCCTCCAAGAAGAGGTATTGCGAGCTATCACCAAGGGCTTTGATGGCTGTGGGCCTTGTGACACGACAGTGCAAAATCCGCCGCGGCTTGTTGTTTGAGAGGAAAAGAGAGCGAAAGGCCCTTCGAGGAAAACCTCGTGCTTGGGTGTAATGATTTGATAATGATTTAATGGTTTGAGTGTCCGGAAGAAGGGAAGGCCACTCAAACAACCAAGCAACAAGAACAAACGGTACAGTGCCAAAGGGGAAACAATGGTTTGCAGTTGTCACTGAATGCGGCCTTGGAAAAGTTCCCGGTCGAGAAGATCGATGACCAAATCGTGGTCTTTGCCATGCGCACTTGCATTGCACAGTTGTTGCCAGAACTTTTGTGTGATGTCCGTAGATGGTCTTGGCAAGCCGGAGGATGCGATCACAAAGAAGAGCTGAGCAAGTGAAGTTGCGTTCTGGTGACAACGCAGCTGACGGCAAAACAGCACGGGTGTTGAAACAACATGAGTCTCGCATGTGGTAAAAGTACACATTCCAAACTTCTGGATGGCCCCACGTGCACTGACGTCCTTCACGTCCATTGGTGCACATCCCTGACACCCCCCAGATCCTCAATGTCCCATCACCTTCGCGACAACCGGAGAGCCAACCGTTCCCAGAGAGTCTCGCAGTGGGTCAATCGGAGGCAGAGACCTTCCCTGGAGCAGACTACACCACCACTGTGGAGGTGGGGCCTGGGCCATGGAGAAAACGGTCAACTGCAGCTGCATTTATGGTCCAGTACATGGCCAAATGGGTCCAAAAACACAAACAAAAACTCGGGGGAGGACCTTCGAGGCGTTGTGGGTTGTTCATTCCCATTTTGCCTTGAAGGTTTTTGTTAGCATCCTTGCCAATGGCCATTGAACCCACTGCCGGGAGCAATGGGATCGTTCCCGTGGAAGAATAGGATGACCTGTGCTTGAATTCTCAACATTGATAACTTTTTGCAATGCCTCACTCAGTCCCCTTGCATGTGGTTGTTGCGGAGGCCTTCATTCCAGCCACAGGGCGTGCTATCCAAGGGGATGCTTGGCGAAAGATTGTTCTGGTGATGGTGGTGATGCCGGTGGTGGATGGAGGGCCAACGATGGCAACTCATAGTGTAAATCCGTGCGGCCACTGTGGTTTGCAGGTCCAGCTGTATTGCAGAATGTGGTTGTTGCGACCTGGGTTATATTGGGACAATCATCCATAGAAAGAACGCCGTTTGTAAGGGCCTGTTGCTGAAGAATGAATTGGTACTTGGAACGCACCTAATTCCCCTCCACGCAAGCATCCCTAGACAACGCAACTTGCGCGTAGTGCGTTGGCCGCGTGGACACAGCGAGGCCACATCACACCACTTGGGCGTGGGGCCCTGACTGACGATGGAGATGTTCAACGGCACAGAAAGCCTGGCAAAGCCCTTTGTATGACACGGGTTGTGCAACCAATCTTGCTGGCTAGTGGCAAGAGATGCTGCAGCAAGAGATGGCTATCCAAATGGCCAAGGAGTTCATAGGAAACGAAGTCTTATTCCTCTATTTATTGGTGAAAGAGGGGTAGTTCACATGTCATGTCGTGTCCGCACCTGGCTGGGACAACGCCGCTACTTTGTGTGGTGGGTTACCAAGATCAGAGTCGGCCCAAGAAGTAATATGATCATTTTTTATCGCAATTGTGCCTTTAACATCAATTTCCAAATGCACCTATTCTGAGCACCGCGTCCTTCCGACACAGTCTCCACACTTGGGAGTCCACAGCAAGGAATACGGACTACAGGGGGGGTCACTTGGTGGCTTAGCTCCTTGATACTGCGAGGGTCCTGCAGCTGAGGTCAAAACTTCTCGAAGATGTTTGAGATCCAATTCCAGGATTGCCCCTCATGTGCGTCTAAGACTTGTGCTGTCGCATTTCAGGCAAACATTGTGAAAAACAGGAGGCTCCATAACGGGGGGTCCCATGCACTTCCGAAGCAAGCAACATGAATTGAGGTATTTATTCGGACCATCACTGGCAGGGTTTTTGGAGCAACCTGACTGTTCAGGATCCCAAAGATGAGAGCGGGAAAGGCATTGAGCACGCCTACCAGAAGCCTGGATGTCGATAAATTCGGAAGATGATGGATTCGGAGCGGCTGTGATGGTAGCAAGGTGTGCCAAGCCAGTGGAAATGAACATGAACCAACGCCCGGCTGGACCACATGCGGCCAACAGCACTTTGGCACGCCCGGCTGGGGAAGCCCGTGAAAACACGCTGACTGATGCTTTGAGGCTCCAGGCATTTCTACTGGGGCCACTCCGTTATGTGGCCCAAGTCCTACATCCCTTTCTGGCAACCTTTCTTGGTTTGTGTGGAGGGTCGTGTGGCTGTGACCCCTTGAGACAAAGAACTCTTGACTCATCATGACTGACTAGGACACTTTATGTCCGAATGGACCATAACGGCTGATTCCTGCCAACAAACCCGGGAAGAATCGCGTCTCCGAGTCCTGCTGCATATACGTAAAATTCCATCGCATCCGGGACCCGGTCGGAGTCCGATGCCCAAAAAGGAACTCCTGGGGTCTCACTCAGCGAGTGATCGGTGTCATGGCCGGGCTTCCCAGACGACTGATCTTCTCGAGCGGCGCGAGCGGCATCATGTCAGCCGCCAAGAAAAAGAACGGCAGTATAGCAAGTGGGTGGCGTTTCTCTTGCAAAGCTTCAAAGTTTCAAAGCAGGCGTTGTTGTTTTTATGCGTTTAAACTATATAAATATTTCGAAGTTTCAGACCTGAAGTATATTTGTTTGAAAGTGGCAGCTTTGGTGCCCCGGCACTGGGTGCGGCTGAAAGATGTCGACCTGGCGTTGGGGGCCAACCTTCCTTCAGCTCAGTGTGTGGGTGGGGGGGCAGATTGCGGTCTGAAGATCGAGGCAGGAAGAGACGAGAGATGATACGCCCTGGAAGGTTAGCATGGAACCTGAAAACCACTGGTTTGTAGAGAAATATAGTCTTCCAAAATCTTCCAAAGATGTAATTTCAGGTTCCGTTGACCTTCCCGGGTGTATCCAGGTGTAAGGGATGCTTGTTCTGTTTGCTTGTCCCCAAGGTGATGGTTCACGGTGATGACAAGGGCCTGGTTTTGCCGCCCAATGTCGCCGGCATCCAGGCTGCTGGGGTTCACCGTCATCCGCTGGTGAAAGCGGGTCATCGAAAAGGATCCTTAGGAACTGAAGTGAACTGAGTCGTATGAACCTTGCTTTCAACCGCATTGATTGACCCGACACTTATATAAGACAAATAATAATGCATGTTAATTACTGTAATACTTAGCTCTGAACAGATTGTGGTGTCCCCCACACTTGGACCATCCAATCTTCCACTTCAGGTGGTGATCGTTCCGGTGGGCATCAAAGCCACGAGCACGGAGGAGGAAAAGACGACCTTGAAAAGGGTCCGGCATCCAAAAGGGCGCTGAGCGGCATGAGTCTTGTGGGCGCACTTCCTGCACTTACGGGGTGATGTTCAACGGCCTAAAGGTGTAGCATGAGTGATCCAGTTTTGACTAGTCACTGGCCTTTGCATGTTGTTAACATGGAAGTCCTCCTGAGTCCTGATGAAACGATGGCAATCGCCTATTTATGCGATTGTTGTTCCACAATTATGACAATGAAGCTCGTGCATCGTGGCAAGGTGTCGGAGGAGTATGAGAAGATGCTTCAAGATGCAGGCAAGGTGACGTGGGGGACTGACAGACAGGATGGGTGGATGAGCAGCATGAGATGTTGATCGCTTCGTACTCGGACCAGACTATCACAGACTCTATGTGAGGGTTTCATCCGTCTGTGGCGTCGCAAAATCGAATCAAATTCATGCAAGAAAATGCCAGATCAAGAGAGGCATCGAAGGTACCTAGACGGGAGCCGGAGCTGATAGCCAGGCATTTCAATGGCCTCAAGTGGACAAGTCAAATATTTAACTTTGTTTCCCAAGTGTTCCCTTCCAACAGCTGTGGGCCACCGGCTGATGTGTTTGTTTGCGTACTTTGGAGAGATGGGGTCTTTCCTAAGCCCCCAGGTGTTCGAGCTTTCCTGGATGGTGCCAAGACCTTAGATGAGTCACTGTGCCCAACGCGTCTCGGTCCGGTCTTCTCGGTCCGGTCGCACTCTGCTAAGGACAACGTGAACTCCCCGGGCTGGAAGTTCAACCAGTGGGAGATGAAGGGCGTCCCTTTGAGAATCGAGCTGGGTCCCAATGACATTGCCAAAGGCGCTGAGTTCGCTCGCTTGGGGCGCTGAGTTCGCTTCGACTCAGAGGAGGTCGGACCAGAACACGAATTCCTCAGAGGTACCTTGAGGATCGTTTAGGATCCTTTGGGGACAGAGGGGTGCTAGGCATTAACATAGCATTCGACTGTGATCAAGTTAGTGGTCCAGGGGCGCCAGGTTCTTGAGATTGTCTACGCTAATCCAGCAGCCGAGTGTTTCTCCTTGAGCTTGGCTTTTGGGTGTTTCCATCTAGCAAGCGAGCGATCATTCTGCAGGTATCCCATGAAAACAGGGTTCAATTCGGGTTGGCAACTGAGGTGCAAAATGGGATGTTTGCCAAAGCAGGCGAAATTTGTAGGAGGAAAGCCTTGGAAGCATACCCACTTCACCTCCGAGCCTCCTTTTTCCTAGGGGCATGCGATTTTTCGTGGCCCAGCAGCTTTGGCTGATTGCTTGGCAGGCCAGTTTATGATGGCGCGACGCCACGTTTTGGACCCCAAGGCACGTGGAGCATCAACTGTGGCTGGTGAAGATGTTGCACTCCCCAAAGTCCAAAGTAATCATTATGTCAGGGAGTGTAGGCAAATTGTCACCTTTGGCGTGCTTGTTTTCTATTGGCGCCGGTGCTTCTCCTTTGGTGTCCGCGGTGCTTCCTCTACCTACCCTGTCGATGTGCTTACTATATTCTTTACTCTTGGGTTCACATCAGTGCCTTGAAGGAAGCAGTGAGCCCGTGTGGCCTGCATTCAGGAGAAGCTAGTTGGCAGGCATGACTCCGTGGTTGAAGATGTCAAGAGCTTCTTGCTTTGAACCTGGTGGGTGGCGGTTGCTCATTCCGTGGCATGCAATTTGATTTTGTGAATCTAATAAGATCCCAAGAAGAATGTGATGTTTCGATAGGCGATGGTAGCAGCAATTGGCTGAAGACTGCTCCAGCCTGTTGGTGACCCAAACTGATGGAATTGCGTTGAAAGGGTTTTACTTGTGATCCCCAATGTTGTCACCGGGGCGTCACAACAGTTTCCACTCTTGGCACCTTCAGTCTTCTCCCAATCCTACGCTTGATTGGTTCACGTGTTGCACACCCGGTGACCCCCAACCCGGTGACCCACAACTTGACCACGCGTTCCGACGCGTGGCCGGGCCCCAACCGAAGGCCGGGGCCCAACCGGGGTGACGGGGTGACGGCACGGTGGTTTTTTCATGTTCGTCGTGTGAGGAACGTTGGACGAGATCCACCAGGCGCTTTATGGCAAGGCCTTGAAAGAGCGCGATGAGAGACTGGCCTCGGTGGACGAATGGAAGGACGGACATACCGGGGTCCGGTTGTGCGGGCAGATGACCGGTTGCAGGCGCTGGGGATCGGTGCTGGGGATCGGAGCTCGTTGGAACACAGAGTATGTATACCCAGACACTCCATGGGACTGGCATATTTACATACACGGGGGTGGTTGACCTGGGGTCAATGCACGCATATAGCATATTTTACAATCCATATCATACCATACATGGAGGGTTTGGGATAGGCTCGGCTCACTTCTGCAATCATCCAGTTTGCAGTACTCAGTCTCGGTGCAGGACTTTAGCCCAAACCTGAATGCGGGGAAGTTGGTCCTCATCCCGTGCCTTGGCTAAATGCCTCATCTCTGGCGGCGGACTCGGCGGTCATCGAGTCCACGGAACGACCCGTTTTGCGATGTGACATGGGGCATTTACCTCAGTGTGTCGTTTTCATTCATCCTACAGCCAAGCAGCAGGCTGGAGAAATTCGATCAAGTAGTCAAGTAGAAATAGTATCATTTGGAAGATTCGGAGATGAGGCCAGCCACTCTGGACTGAGGTTCTGTGGGGAAAAAGAGTGTGAGGAGAAGATCAAGGAGGGGATGCCGGGCTACCGCCCTTGGTCTCCGGACGTGCGTTCTGACATGCCGTGTCAAAAGGCCGTCGCAGAAGCAGCATGACTCTATCAAGATCTATATATCAAGTGATTCCTAAGGTGGTTGCATTCCTACCTTTGACCACAGAGGATGCGTTATTGGTCCGTGTGTTGTTTGAACGATGAAGTGCAGAGTTGCAAGAATGATGCGCCGGCAAGCAGTGGCAGTGGGGTTTCAATGCTTCCCTAGTCTGAGACCAGCCTACATGACCTTCCATGCACTTGCAGGAGAAATCCAAAGAAGAGGTGGGACACGGCGGGAGACGGCGTGTTGTCCCAGACCCCAAAAAGTGCCATAAGGAGTTAGGTAGTGGAGTTGGTGCAGGAATCTGGCAAAGGCTTCGATGCCAAACTAGTGTGTTTTCTGATTGTGGCTAGCCATAGCTAACCACTCGTAACTATGAAAGGTCAAGGCGATGAGGGCAAAATTCCACGAGAAAGCCTGTTTGGCACCACCTACCTGTAGTTACCCCATTGTTGTAAGGCCAAGGAAAGCCACCAACTGGTAGTAAATGCAGCTAGCTGCATCTGATCTCCGGTCCAAGGCTATCCAAGACTTCATGATCTTCATGCTCACTGTATGCTGTGCACATGTTTTAGAAGCGGGCCGCGTTCAGATTCGCCAGATAAACCCATAAATATTGCTGAAGGCCAGGTTGAGTTCACTTTGGTGCGGACTACTCAGAGGCAGATCAAGTTTTTCGGGGAACGTTGGGGATTACTTACTTAATCTTACTTGCTTGCTTAATCCTACTTACTTACTTACTTACCATCCTTCATCATCATTTCACTATTCCCTTACGGAATTGCTAAGCTGGCCGCTGCTCAACCGCTCCTCAGGCACAAGAGGTGGAAGTGGCCGGAGGCCTCAAGATGGGCGCCAAGAGCTTGTGCATCCCGCACGAGGCCATCTTCCAACAGCGAACTGCACTGGCGCTGGGTGGGTGGGTGGGAGGGAGGGTGGGAGGGAGGAAGGGTGGGTGGGTGGGTGTGTTGCGCACAGCAAAATTCAGAGACTTTCTTTTTTGGTTGGCCCGCTACATGGATCGAGTCTAGCTTTCTTGAACACCTCGGAAGTCAGAGATCCTGCATAGTCAATCTGCCAGTTCTACCTTCACCAAGCCACTCTTCATAATATGCTTTTCTCACCGGCCACCTTTGGGCATGTACAACCATCTGAACAGCTGGGCATGTTTTGTGGTGCTGAACTTGGCTCAATTGCTTCAGCTTCAGCTGCTTACAGCGGCGTTGGAGGTGCCCCGGCTTTCCATAGCTTTGACTTTGGATTTTTTTGTAATCATCAATCTTGGGCAAGAGCAAAGTTCACTGCCTTTTGAAAGCCCCATGTGCCCCATGTTTGTGATCGAAACTCGGATGAACGCGCACACACACACACACACGGACTGGAAAAGACTGTGAATGAGATCCGTCATGATCCATTACTGTTCACTAAGTCACTAAGTGTCTTGTATCTTATTCTTTACGGTGATGTGTTTTTAAAGATTTGAAAGCACCCTTTCTGCCACTCGTGATGTTCAATTTTGAAGATGGAGTGTGACACGTAAAAGCGCTGAGGCATGGCACGGGTGAAGGTCGTGAGCTTCAGCTTTATATGCCACTAGGTCCAGAAATCAGTGCTCGACTCGGTATCGAATGTTCCCGAGTTGTTGTGGGACGGGGCAAGAGTGTCTAATAGTTTTTTATCCAGGCCGGAGAGAAATGAAGAATGCATTTTGAATTCATATTATATATATAATTTATATAACTATATATATAGACCCAACTAACACATCAATCAATGACAATATGGACCAGAACCCATGGACCCAGTGCTTTGCCACCTAAGCCCTAAGCTGAGGCTGTTTCAACTTGGTCATCGGTCCTTTGGCTGCAATGGCTGGAGCTTCCTGCAGCTGTACTATGATGTGTTGCAGCTTTACGACAGCAGGTCGAGAAGTGTCGGGTTGTCAACCTCAGTGCATTCGATACAACATCGGTAAACCGCAGATGGCTTCGCATGGGGAGCAAAGCAGTTCCTTTAAAATGGTTGCTTTGTGAAATTTAGTGGGGGTGCTGTATAGAGCTATACTATACTCGTTCACGGGCTCTTTCACAAGCATCCCAACTGAGTCCAAACCACCTGACCCCAGAAACATCTCAACTGAGCGAAGTGACCTTCCTGAGGATTTGCAAGTCTAAGTTCACCATGTTTCCCACTGGTGCAAACAAATGCATAGTAACACCAACCACCCTGAACAAGTATGCTGACCTGGGTGTTTACTTCTCGCGAAGGCTGTTGGGAGACACCCTAAACTCATGGGTTTGGAGGCACTCGACTGTCACCCAAGAACAAACTCTTTCACCATCCGTGCTGTATACCGTGATGTGTACCGAGCAGTTCAGGTGGAGATGCGAGGTGTCTCAGGGCAAGAGTAGACCACTCTACCCAGAGTCTACCATTGGTTCGGCGTTTCCCCATTCAATTGTACGCACCGATTTGCATGGAGTCCGTGCACACCAGTTGTGGGAGTCCGTGTCTCCCCACCGTGTGGGGCCATGTAAAAAGCTCAAAGCAAAGCTCCCATCCGAAGAACTCACCACAGCTTGCAGTTGGATCTTCAACGCGCACAACCCACTCCGAAGGGCCGGAACCGAGGTGCCGCAGATGAGTGCGCCAAGTCAGCTGCAGGCGTGACTCACTGTGATAGAATAGGTGCTTATTCACAGATGTTGTTTGTCAAGGCCGGTTTTTTGGAGCCATGCTCAACTAATTACATCGACATCAAGTCAGCGCAGGCATAGCCTAACTAATGCAGCAACCCACAGACCCATGGAGAGGTTTAGAAGATGATGCAAGATGATAAGATAATTTTTCCTTGTGGATGCCATGTTGGCATGTTGAGGCAGGCCAAGAAACACTGAACAGCCTAGGACCTTAGGAGCTTCATGTCTTGTGAGTTAAGCTGTCAAAGATTTGCAAGAAAGTCCCGTATCACATATCACATGCAATCATGACCACACCAGGCTCTGTTAGGCTCTGTTGGGTTGACGCCCTATGGCGGGCTACTCTGCACTACTTCCTCCAACCCCGACCGCTAAACGTCGCCGCTGCTTTAGCGGCCGATGTCTCGACATGTGGGACTGCTTGAATAGCCCTGCAAGCAGTGCATAATGGATGGACAAAAACACAGTTTGAATGCAAGTATTTTGACAGATCCACCTAAAGATGTTCAATAGCAAGGAGGCACCACTAAATTCATTGGAACTTCACTCCAAGTCGCTGACTGGCACATGTGATCGGATTTCATTTGCTGAGAGGCGAGTCCTGTGCGCGGGAAAGATCAAGAAAAGGCGATGTCCTTTTGAGACCTGGCTGGCACAATCATGAAGAATCACTGGTCACTAGTGTTTCCATGTTTGTGTTGTGTGCTTTTTGAATCAGGTAATGATCACACGTGCTGCACATGATTGCCCATGTGCTATGGGCTATGTGCTCTCACTGCAGATTCCAAGGGGTTTGATATGACATGTCAACATGTCCCTCATGAGTGCTTTGGTTTGATGGATTTGATGCGATGGATCAATTGATTATTATTTCTCAGCTCTTTGGCCGTGCCAGCATGAATAACTCACCTTGGTCCTAGCCATTTTGCTTTGACAAGTCGATTTCCGAGATCACCTTGTGTGCACCAAGGATGCAGCTGAAGCCAAAGCTCAAGCGTGTTTACCTTAGATTCCGAAGTTCTGGTGGGATGAGTCAACAAGACATTGTCTATTGAATGGCAGCTGCGACATGAGGTCAACATGTTGCCCTGATTGAACCTGAACATGTCAAGATACTGAGCCATGGCCCATGTTTTAATTACACCGTTTCGCAGCTCATCAACCAGTGGGACCCTTGGTGCGTCCAAACCAAACGACTTTTCTTTTTTTTTCAGAAGCCCATGCTGAGGTGGTGCGCAGGAAGGCGAGAGTGCAGCAGCTCTGGGCATGCCTGCCTGCTGTTTAGGATGCATGGATTGGTGCTCTCCAAAGCACCTTGGTCTTTAGAACCCGGATGAGTGCGGAAACACCGACCGTCGGCTGATGATGTGGGAACAATGGGGGAAACACTATGACCAATTTGTGATTGAGTAGTGATCATCTCAAAAAATCGATATACACACACATATATATATAGCATATATATATATTTACATAGAGAGAGTGTGTGTGTGTGTCGTGTGTGTCGTGTGCTCTCCACAGGTGATTGGAACGTGAATACATGTCCGAAACCATTCATTGAGTGTCATGTTGATCAAAATCCCTAATATGGAGATGTAAAACATTGTAAACCATTCAGGGGATTCAAGCAACCAAAAGTGTACATAAAGGATCATTTCTTTTGGGGGAGTCTTAGGGGTCCTCCTTTCTAAAAAAGAAACCGAGCTAGACCGGAATCTGGGCAGCTGATTGGCATGGAGGTAACCATGAGTTAAAAGTTAAATGTGCTTGCTCAGGCTTTTTTTTTGGTTGGTGCTGCCAGAATGGACACCGGGAATTTGATCATGGTTGCCTAAGTTCTACCATTAGGTCATTAGGTCATTCATTAGCCCTCCTTTGAAGTACCTGGTGCTGTGTTTGTGATGCTCAACGAACACTGGACACCGATCGACAGGAGCGGGCGCTGTCCTTTGGCTGCAATGAGCGTCAGTCTGTCCTTTGAGGGAAGATGGGTTCCTCTTCCTCTGCTGGTTGTGGGAGTTCTTCATGTTTTAAAAGAAAGTGCCGGTGCCATGCAATACATGCCATGAAATCCTGAAGCACATGTGCTTGATTGAGTGAGGCCATGAAAAGCAGGCGAAAGCCTACTACAAGCCCTGTGCGCAATCCTTCTACTCCTCCGGCAGCCTCCTGTGGGCCGACGTGGGTGGCCTCAGCGGGTCTCCTGGTGCTTGGCACATGGTCCTCGCAGCCGGTCACCTGGTGCTGGCATGTGCTGGCTATGCCTATGCCTCCGCTTTCGAATAAGAGGTTGCTAGATGAGTTGGGCATAACAAAAAAGGCCAAAACACAACGTGGCAGAAGTGACAGTTCGTTTTTTTCCAGAACCATTGAACTCTGCATATCATACCGTCCATGTATGTCGAAATGTTTGCATGTCCGTTTGACCTCATTGTGCTGAGGAGTTTGATGGCACAGAGCTGAACAGCTCTAACTGGGTGGCGCAGCTGAGATGGCCGAACTCCCGCCCGGCAGATGCCAGCCGAGCATAGGGGTATGATAGCGAAGACCTACGTTTGGCCAGTCGAAGATCTTAGCAAATACCGCTATGCTTCTGCACCAGTTTCTGCACCTGAAATAGTCAGCACTATGCTTGCTTCTGCAGCTAGACTTACCCTCAAGGCACCTGAAGACTGCTTCAACCCAACCCCGCAAGTGAGCCCTCCAAATCCACTACTGTAGAAAGACACAGAATTTCCAGCGCTAGAAGTCAGAGGCTTCCTCCTGACCCTCTGGATTATATCCTTGGGGTTTGGTTTGGGGCTGTGTCCGCTCCACGACCCAGGTCCTGCTTGAGGGTGACAAGAAGAGCCGTTTCGACCTGACCGACTCGACGGACCACAGGACTGCGTTGGTCTCGTTCTGGGTTGGGAGTTGAAGATCTTGAAGCAGATGGAGTCCAGATGTCAAGAAAGCACACCGGGAATCAGCACATGATTCAAAAGGGGTGAAAGCCTTTGACAGGTTGGCATAGGTTGGCTGTTGAATGCGGTTGGCCATGTTTTGGACTGTGCCTGGCGGAGGGGCCTCGGGAAGACCGAGCCAGCCCCCCACAAGAATTCCAAGGCCGTCCAGCGTCAATCGGCCAAATGGCTCGAATTTTGGGTTCAATTATGCCCACACATTGCCAGATATATCATGGT